CCCCCCCCCCCCCCCCCTCTACCTTGGGTATTCACGTCAACCACCCCTCACCCCCCTTCCCGCCAGGTCCAATTGCACACAGCCAGTAGGATCACTGCGCGACGCGCTTAGAAGCAGCAAGGTGCAGTCCCAGTGCGTTGGAGGTTGATGGTCAATGGTCGATGCCCACTGTCTGTTCTTCGTCCCTCGCACTCCAAGATCCAAACTCAAAAAGTAGCTGGAGATAGTGGAAGGGGTAAGTGGTCCGCTCACAGGTCCTGGTGCCACCGTTAGAAAAAAAAGACTCTGGTGTTGCTTGGGCTTGGCCATACTCCCCATAAGATACTCACTGACCCAGTTGGTCCTACCAGAAGAAATCCTACAAAGACCAAGTATCCGTCTAGCTGCGGTACTTCGAGATCGTGTCGTTTTTCGACGGCCACTAGAGGTAGTTGGGTACATATCTCCGTACCTCGGGGTACAACGGGAATTAGTCGCACCTTCAGTCCAGCGTGGGTCAGCCCAGAGTCCAGAGTCCAGAATCCAGAAGTCCAAGAGTCCAGTCCCATCTGTGCTCACTGCTGCATCGTCTGGTGCGAGCAAAGAAGGCAAAGGCACGGCCGCTTCTACCTGAGCTCCCTCTCCCTCTGTCTCTCTCTGGATGCGTCGTGGGCTCTGTTGTCTGTTGTCTGTTGACTGAGGAGGTGTTTGCTTGTTGTCTGCACCGTTGTAGGTACCTTCCCTGCTGCCTACCTTACCTGCGGATACCTTTCCGTACCAGACGACGGGACTTTCTTTTCGAGTACCTTTACCTCGTGCACGCATATTACAATATACCTCTTTTTTCCCCCTCCCCTGCTGCTAGCACCTCACCTCGCAAACCCACCACTTACCACCACCACCACCTAACCTGCGCGGCACCAGCAAAGAAGCGACGGGGACACTCTCTTTTTTCGCAGCGCAGCGGCTGCCCAGCACCAAAGCAGCAGAGCAGCCAGACCGGCGCCAGCGACCTGAACCTAAACGAACTATTCCCAACCTCACCTTCCCTCCTCTTCCTCTTCTTGCCATCTTCTCCTCCTCCTCCCACCGTTTCTCCCCTCCCTCTCCATCGCTCTCCTCATCCTGTGCTCTTCTTTCTTCCATCTTCATTATTGTCCTGCCTACCCCGAGCGACCCCGCGAGCCGATCTCATCGCTCGCCCGCTCCCGCCCGGCCTTAAGTTCTCAACGCTCCTTACTCGATTTCCAACCCTCAGCGTCGCGTGCGACGACTTTCGTTTTGCGACACCTTGCGAGCAAGCCCGCTTGCTGTTGCTCCGCCTTCTTTTCAATCCCCAACTCTGTTCGTCTCCGCCTCGCTCGGAACTGCGATCCTCACAGTCTGCCCATCCGCCCGCACCTCCCATAGGCTAATCGGCTCCGACTCGCGCGCAGCATAATTCACGATAACACTTGCGCAAACCCTCAAATTCACAGCCTTCGTCGCTCCCGACACTAGCTGTTGCCAGTCGAATTCCTACTTCATTTTCGGCGCGACAAGTGCGGTCGACGGTCCTACCGAGCACTTGGCCTGCTTGGTGGCACACGACGCCGTAGGATCCGCGAATCGGGTGCCTGTCATCCTTACGCTGGCTCCTCCACGATTGCGATAATCTCAGAATGACCACACTCTTGTCCCAGAGCTCCTCGCCCGCGACATCCCCACCTGCAGCTGCTTCTCCCTCCACCAACCCGAATCACCCCTCACTACCGCCACTAATAACATCACCACCTAGCCGTCGCTCGACCGCACCGAGACCAATGTCGCACGCTTCCAAAAATCGCTTGTCGCAATACTCGACGGGCTCAATCCCCTCGCGTTCGCGACCGCCTTCTCACATATTTCCAATGTTTCCCTCGAGTCTCTCCTACACCCTGGTGCGCGATTTCGCATATCCAATTATGCATCCCATGCACTATGGTCCCCCGCCAGAGCCGTCGCATCCTGCTTCTGGCCTCAGCACTCCCCTGAGCGAGTCTCGTCGTCTATCCGATCCTCCCGCTGCCTGGGAAACAAAAATGACCTGGAATACTGGCTCCTGGGGGCCAGAGGGCTTCGGCAAGGCCCACGACCTGCCACCCATGGAATTTCGTGATGGCCCACCCTGGAGTGAAGATGAGGATTTGGCGAGCCCTGTCGTCAGCTCCAGGCACCGAAAGCACAAATCTTCCGCAGCAGCCCTTGGCGGAACCGCTGGGTTGAGAAATTCTCGCGACGCGAGCAACGACATGCTACACCCAGCACATTACGAACAGCGGGAACGCGGTTACTACGTTGGAACCAGTGGTGATGGCAGCGAACGATACTACCTCAACCAAGGAGGGGAAGCGAATGGACCCGGCGGAGAATATGTTACCTACCCTCCCGGCGATGCACGGCATTCCAGCCATGCATACCAGCTAGGTGACCTGCCCCCACGGCAGTACGCCGAACAGGAGACATATTCGGATGCTTCGAGCTCCGCATCCTCTCCAGGTTTCCGCGGGGATGACCAGTCACGATATTCCCGGGATTACCAGTTCACCATCACGTCGCCCGACGAAGAAATGCACGGCAAAGCCGTTGCGCTTTTTGATTTTGAAAGAGAGAATGAAAACGAGTTGCCATTACTCGAAGGTCAAATCATATGGGTTTCCTACCGCCACGGCCAAGGCTGGCTAGTAGCCGAAGACCCGAAAACTCAGGAGAGCGGACTCGTCCCTGAGGAATACGTTCGTCTGCTGCGAGATATTGAAGGCGGAATGAACAGTCTTACCGGCAATCTTGGCGAGGGCTCTACGTCCCCAAACGATGTTGGAACACCTACGCAAGCAGAGCATCACCCCCAAGGTCACACGCCGACCGGTAGCCAATCTTCATCCAACGGGTATCATCAGCCCGTGGTCTCGACGTTCTCCACGTCCAGCAAGGACTTGGACCCGTACCCTACACAGCAGCTTGGTCTTCAATCTGGTCAACCCCCTCCGCAAGTGGTGCATTACCACGGCCAAAGAGGTGGCAGCCAGGCCAACACGCCAACTCTGGCGTCACACCAGGATATCGGCATGATGCGCCGAGGCAGTCAGGACACTGGGGCGAAGAAGACGGATTCCCAAGTGAGCCCCTTGACGGAGGCGATCACAGAGAGCAAGCTAGTCGACCGATCTAGCACACCAAAAGCAACAAACCCCACTGAGAAGCCCGCAGACCCCGAAGCCATGGACACTGAGCGGTGATGAGAGACTATCAAGAAGCATTCACTCGCGTTTGACTTGGGGGTCTAGACTTCTTCTTGCTTGGCAGGTTCTCTTCTCCTCTGGGGACCTGTCACGAATCATGTACTATGAGGAACGTTAGGGAGGAGCGTTTCTGGTTTCGGTTTGACGATCAAGAGGCGTACAGTTGTTATTTCTCGGGAGACATAAAGAGACAAGAGCCCCCTGGTCGGTCGCTTTCAGCATGTAGCTTGGATGATGGAAAACTTTATGATCAAGGGCCTCGGTGGAGGGACGCATCAGTGTTCAAAAACGAGGATGAAAGCCGGCATGCTTCGCCATTGAATGCCCGGGACTACGTCAGATCCCCTTTGAAGATGGGGTGGAGTTTTACCGTATTTTGAAGTCCACAGCAATTGAAGCTGTCGGCTTGTATATAATAATCGGGGTGATCCCCTATTTTCTCCTCTTGGAGAACGTCAAGAGATGTTTCTTCGACATGATGTTCCTAGTCGATTGCCTTTATGGTATCAGTTGCCTACTGAGCCAAACCATGAACCAGATTCACAGCTGGTTCTTGGTCAATGCTTGCGTCCGAATGCACCTGTTCAATGCTGGCAGTGGTATGGCGCAATTCGCAAAGAGCCTCTTTGAGCACGTTGTTGGTTCTGCTTAGAAATGCACATCGGTTATTGCTGCGGGCTTCCCACCGGCACGCCGCTTACTGTGCCATCCTCTCGGTCAGTTCGGCGGGATCGGACGCGGGAAACATAGTCTCACGTGATATTTTACGTCATGCACAGGTCAATGGTCGCCCGGGGAAAGCTTTCCATTGCGGGCGGCTTCGAGCTTCTGCTGCGAGTCTCTCGGATACCTGAGCTTCTTTCTCCCAGCAGAAAAAAACATCCTTTGGTCCATTCCTCAACCACACACACCTGTCAATTACCTCTCCTGACAGCTTGGAAACTTCCAATTGAACCATCACAATGTTTGCCAGAACTGCCTTCAGGGCCGCGCAGCCTCTCAAGCTGGTAAGATAGCTATTCGATGACGCTGTTCTCTCTTTCCATCCCTCGTTCATTGGAAATCCTCGTTCCCTCCGCGGGTCGCGGAGCGGTTCCCGAGTTGCGATTCCCCCGTTCGACTACATCACACCACCTATGCCAGCACCACAACCCCATCTTGGCCCCCGCCAATTCCGAAACACTCTTCTACCGTCTGCCCTTTCGACGCGATAATCACTTCAAAGGCTAACAAACCTTCTTCCATAACAGCAAGCCCGCCGCTACGCCACCGAGCCCGCCGCCAAGGGCAGCAGCTCCAACACGGCGCTCTACGCCGGCGGTGCAGCCGCCGTCGCGGGTGGCGCCTACTACTTTTTCGCCGGGGGCTCCTCGGGCGCGGCGCAAAAGGCCGAGGCCAAGGTCAAGGAAGCCGTCGGCGCGGCGCCCAAGAAGGCGCTCACGGGCGGCGACCAGGGCTTCGTGTCGCTGAAACTCGAGGACACCGAGATCATCAACCACAACACCAAGAAGCTCCGCTTCAAGCTGCCCGAGGACGACATGGTTTCTGGTCTCGACGTTGCGAGCGCCATTTTGACCAAGTACAAGGGTCCCGAGGACGAGAAGGCTACGTTGAGGCCTTATACTCCTACCAGCGATGAGGGTTCGTATTCCCCCTGGTTTCTTTGATATGCGCTGTGATTATGCTGCTCGATACCCGGGACTGACAATACGACAGACGCCAAGGGCTACCTCGAGCTCATCGTCAAGAAGTACCCCAACGGCCCCATGTCGACGCACATGCACGACATGACCCCCGGCCAGCGCCTCGACTTCAAGGGCCCCCTCCCCAAGTACCCCTGGTCCCCCAACAAGCACGAGCACATCGCCCTCGTCGCCGGCGGCACGGGTATCACGCCCATGTACCAGCTCGCGCGCGCCATCTTCAACAACCCCGAGGACAAGACCAAGGTGACGCTCGTCTTCGGCAACGTGACGGAGGAGGACATCCTGCTCAAGAAGGAGCTCGCCGAGCTCGAGAACACGTACCCGCAGCGCTTCCGCGCCTTCTACGTGCTCGACAAGCCGCCCAAGGAGTGGAGCGGCAACAAGGGTTTTATCAGCAAGGAGCTGCTGAAGCAGGTCCTTCCCGAGCCCAAGAGCGAGAACATCAAGGTTTTCGTGTGCGGTCCCCCTGGGTTGATGAACGCTATTTCTGGTAACAAGAAGAGCCCCAAGGACCAGGGCGAGCTTGTTGGTACCCTCAAGGAGTTGGGATACTCTCCTGAGCAGGTCTACAAGTTCTAGAACGTTTGTTTTGACTTGTTAGATGGAGGGGCCAGTCTAGATGTCGTAAAGAGCATCGAAGAGGAGACTTTTTGTTGTATGAATAGCTGAGGCGATAGACGCATTAGATTCCTCAATGAATGCTGGCGGTTTGCGAGTATCATCTTAGAGGTCCTTAGGTGGAATATTTGATGAAGTCTACATGACACGACGAACCACGCAAAGGTTTCACTCTTCTCTTTGATGTATACCCAACTGAATATACACATGCCCCTCCCTTCAGTTCCCATCTACGTACGGCACATGCCCTATATATATATATATATATATATATATACCCCCTCAATGCCAAACCTGTCACCAGCCAGCAGGCGCCCGTCTAGGTCGACGGGTCAGGTCGAACTGGCTGGGTGGTGGAGTGGTCTACGGCCAACAATCAAAATTCATACAACAATCAGCCTTATTTGACAATAGACTCAGAGAGAGTACCCGAGTTCGAATCCTAGCATGAGCACCAAGAGATATAGCCCCCAGTCCAGCACCGGGGAGGGGGGGGGTGAACTCTTTTTTACCTTCATCTTCGAGACCTTTTTAATGCTGGTTTTGAGTATATCGACTAGCTAGCTAGGGACTGGAGGAGATTGATATTCAGAACAAGACGGAGATTTCTCAAATATGTAAAAAATAAAAAAAAAATAAAAATAAAAAATGTTACTCTGTTTGGTTTATCTACTACTCAAGAATACGACGATTGCAAAGTACATATGGAGTGTAGAACATCAGGTCTATTTTGTAATTTAGGCTTCTGGGTTTCAGAGGCTCTTGGTGGCGGAGGCGATGCACTCGTTGATGATGCCGGTCCACTTGAGCGCGTTGTTGAAGTCCTTGGCGTCGATGCTCTCCTGGAGACCAGGGAAGACGGCTGAATCATAGATGTTAGCATTCTAACTCATTCAGAACGGTGTAGGCAATGAAATCAGAGGAAGCGGTGCACAAAGGGGGAAACTAACCTCCAGAATACCCAGTCCACAAACCAGGCGCAAACACGACGTGCTTAAACCAGGTCCGGCCGTCCAGGCCGCCGGGGTACAGGAAATTGCGCTCGAAGCCCTTGTAGGACCTGTTGACCCAGACGAAGGCCAGGGCGAGCTTGATCTTGCGGTACAGGTTCCACCAGGGGATGCTGCCGTACTTGAGCTCCCAGTCGACCTCACCCGCCTTTGTGTCGAGGCGCACCGTCTTCTCGCGCAGGGCGGCGATGGAGGTGCGGAGGATTTGGAGCGAGGTGCGGAACTGCGAGAGGGAGCCCTTTGCGTCTGCGTCGGCGACGGCGACGGTGGCGCGGATCCGGAAGAGGGCCTCCTCGTCAGAGTCCGAGTCTTCGGCGACGGCGGTGAGCTTGGACTCGACTTGGTCGACGTAGCCCGTCAGCGCGTCGGCGTAGTCGGTGGCGTTGAAGCGGATGACGGGCACGTTGGCGAGCTCTGCGACGACGAGGCCGAGAATCTGGGCCATTGTGCGGTGGTAGACGAAGCCTGGGTCGCCAAACTCCTTCATCCAGTGGAAGGAGTCGTAGTTGGAGTGGTACTGGTAGACGACGTCCCCGTTCTCGCCGCCGAAGCCGAAATCGAGGGAGGGGATGCCCGCAAAGTCCTGGAAGGCGGTGAAGTCGGAGCCGGAGCCCATGGTGCTGATGCGGCCGTCCCAGACGTCGGCGACGGTCTGGCCGGGGACGGTCTGGTTCGGGGAGGGGACGAGCTGGGTGACCTCGCGGAGGACGCGGTGGAGGAGGGGCGCGGCGGAGGGGTTGAAGTTGGGGCCGCGGACGCCGACGTCGACGTTGACGTAGGCGACCGAGGCCTCGGTCAGCCAGGGGAGGTACTCCTCCACCCACTCGGTGCTGCCGATCAAAGAGTACTCTTCACCGTCCCAGCTAGCGAAGACGATGGTGCGAGTGGGCTTCCAACCGCTGGCGAGGGCGACGCCGACGCCGCGGATGACTTCGTTGAGGACGGCGGAGCCGCTGTTGGGGTCACCGGCGCCACCGGCGATCCATGCGTCGCGGTGGTTTCCGACGACGACAACCTCGTTGGGAATGGTACCGTTGACGATGCCGATGACGTTCCACAACGGTGTGGTGGTGTAGTTTTGCTCGTTGTAGAGGTTCAGGACCACGTTGTCGGGGGTGGGACCGATGTTGTACTCGACGCCCTTGTACTTGAGGCCAAGGTTCCTGTTCCAGTACTTGTTGAAGTCCTTGATAGAGGGACCGTGGCCGTTGAGAGCTTTGAGAATGGGGAGGGCATCAGCGTAAGAGATGGGGATGGAGGGGATAGATGGCGTAGCATCGTCGACGGGAGCGCGCGGCGCACCGGGTTTGGAGGGGTAGCCAGGGGTAGAAGGGTCACCGGGGCGCTGCGAGAGGAATTGGGCGCTTCCGCGCTGAACGGCGCTCGGGTGACGGGCAGGGCCGTTGGGGTACGCCTCGTATCCGTTCTCCTCGGTCACCTTGCCGTCATCACCAGGGTCGCTGTAGAGGAGAGCACCAATGGCACCCAGCTCCTGGGCACGCTTGATCTTGAGGCCACGGAAGATACCGCCGTACTTTGCGATGACGATCTTGCCCTCAAGGCTGACGTTGGCCTTGACGAGGTCTTCGTAGTCCTGGTACGTGCCGTAGTTGACAAAGACGAAGGATCCGGTGACGTTGCCGCTGGCGGAGTAGCCGTGGAATGTCGGGACTCTGTCCTCCAGGCCGGAGGAGGGATCTTCTTCAAGGACGTCCTCCTCGAGAGCAGCCTTGAACTCTACCGTCCAGGTAGACTCTTCTTCCTTGGTCTTGGAGAGAAGGGAGAGGCTGTGGTCGATGGGGTAGTTCAGGTAGACGTCGTACGACACGATTTCGGATTGCACACCCCAAGACTCCCACTTCTCCTTGGTCCATGCAGCCTGTCACACATTGTAAGATGGTAGTCCCTTGATATCAACTGTGATAGGTTTACCTGAGAGTAGTTCTGGCCCGCCAGATGGGGACCGGCAGTGTAATACCTGCTCCATTCCTCGGCCTTTTCAGATGAGGGTACCTCAAAGAGGATCTTCTGCACTTCTTCATGGGTAATGGGGGCGCTGTTGACGCTGTTCGTCCAGGACCAGCCGTGATGGTGGTGACCGTGGTGACGAGGAGGCTCATCAATGAAGAGCGCAACTACGAAGAATATGGACCAGAAGATGAGGATGGAAGAGAGTGCAACGGTGCAGAACCGGCGCAGGACATGGTTCGGGTACCTGCGGCGCGGCGCACCAATGTAGACATTGGTGATAAGCGGCGTCCGCTCATTAGACATTTTGTCGTCGAAACGCTTTCTGAATTAGAGTCAGCGTGAAAGTATCAAAAGCATGCTCGAACTATACGTTGAGAGCTCATCGACGGGCGACTCGACGATGAAGTGAGTGATGTGATGTAGGTGAGGCAGGAGGATGGGACGTGGGAGCACGTGTGGCTGACGAAGACGGTTGCATCATCCCGTCGCCGCCAGCCACACTAAGCTCTGGTAAGCTCCCTTCAAGCTCATGGGGCTGCTCACAAGGACACAATCACCCAGGCTGCGACAAAAAAAAAAAAGAACCAACTTACTCTAGCGCCATCTTGCAATACGGAATCCGAAGCCGTCGTCAGCAATGATCTCTGCGCCTTTCTGTTTACCAGAGATGTAGTTGAAACAGAGATGAAGTTGCCATGAGCATTGCGTGCTTCGTCGATGTTATCAGCATCAGTGGTGATTTTGCCGATCGGCTGCCGCCGCCTGGTGAATCCTCCACCGGCACTGGCACCCGCAAACGTGATTGAACAGCTTGTGCTTGACGCTGGGTCTCCTTCCTGATTCGGGGGTTCAGACGAGGGGGAGGAACGAGAGCGGGTCATCGGTGTCCCGGTGCCGACGTTTGGAAAAGCCCGGAATCAAGATAGCCAGCGATAACAATTTTTCTCAACGAGGATACGGAAGTCTTTCCGGTGCCATTCGGCTTCCACAAAAGCATCGACGGTCCCAGCATCCCGTCCCGTGACGCCGCATCGACCGTAGCCGTTAGTTGCACAGTCCGAGGCTCAGACTGTCAGACATTTGATCAGTCGTCAAGGTCAACATGTTACATCATCTAGGTACGGTAAGATATCTAAGCTTTGGCTACCTTGGAGGCTAAAGGGCGCCTTTGCCGCCTGTCTTGGATTCGAGTCAAGAGACGCCCTCTTCCCGGTGGCTGCGTGCATCGGCTAACGTCGGTGATCACGCAATTGATTGGGTCAATGTCGTCCAATCAGTCCTTTCCAGTACGAACACACTCCCGACCTAAGGTAGCAACCAACCACCACTCACCGAATCTTCCTTCTCGCAGCGGCAGCGCAAGTACAAAAGTATATCAGACATGACTGCCTGCCTTACCTACCTTTGATTTTCTGCAGCCTCCCTCTCTCGTATGGCGGTGTGTTGTCTCACAGCTTTTCAGCACAATTGTCTTGGGATAGGCATGTCTGGATTCATGCTTCAGGTGCTTCGCTGGCGCTGAACGCAGAGGATCACCCCTGTCCAGTCGGCTCATGATGATTATTCAGCTGTTGTCGCACTTGCCCCGACATTCGGCCCCGGCTTCGGCCAAGTCGGCCTAACGCCGCCGGGAAAAGAGGCCCCCCACCGGCAAAGACTGGACGTCATGGCAATTGCGGGGAGGGCGACCTCTTGACCTTGCGCTGCAACACTTTTATCGCTTTTTTTTCGTTCCATCTTTTGAGGCGGTCGTTGGAGGAGCACCACCACCCCCATCAACTTTTTCGGCTGCACCACCGCACACCTCCGGCTACAGCGAGAACCCCTGCCCATTTTCCGCGCCCGTGCAAGCCGTTGCATCTTTCACACCCTCACCGACTCCAACTCCCAAGCCTCTGCCGACAACGGAAGTCCTTCGCCTGCGGTCTTTCAAGCATTACGCCGGCCCTGTCCCCTTACGACGTTCCCTGCTACTACCCAGTATCCGCCCGATCGCCCGCCCGCTGCCGCCGTATCGCCTGGACCGGGCCAACATCCTTTCGCTTCAGCAACAGGGAGATGCGATGTAGCCGGCTCGCAGCGAGCGAGCGCATTGCTCCTTGGACCAAGTCTCAAGCCGAGAAAGAGGAAGACACGGGGCACCGCTCAAGCCGAACCAGCGTCCCCTAGGTAATGGCACTTGATCGTTTCCGAGACACTCGATGTCCGCGGTCATCCCATCTTGCTCCATCACCGCAATGCAACAGAACACTTCGTTGGCCACTTTATTTTGGCTCGCGTCTCGCGCTCCTCTTCGCTTGCCGTCGTCACCGTCACGCACTTATCCCTCATGGCAAAGCTGATGCGCACGCAGCCTGCGCTAGGCTATCGCAAGTCGTTCTTCCCATACCTCTAGCGCTGATTTGCCTTGCCAAGCCCAGCTCTACGGCAAGCGGGAATTCCCATCTCTCAAGTTCTCCATCTAATCCCCAGGAGGCACGGCCATCTGAGGCCCCGTTCCCCAATTCGCGGTGGTTAGCCCTGTGGCCCCCTTCAAAAAGTGAAGCCCCGTCGGCCAGTCATCGACTAGAAATCTTCCGTCAGCAGAGAGAGCGGGGATCGGCGCAGGATTATGGATGGGGAAGGGAAGAGAAAAAACGAGTCTGGTCCCCTGGGGCGCCGGCTCATTGCACCCTTCACGCTCTATGGGGGTCCTACTAAGGAACTGCAAGAACTGCAAGAACCGGGGGGGATGACTGCGGTTCCATGAATTTGCATACCCACGCTATTCCCTGTCCGGCGCAGTGCAGCCGCAAGCCTGCAGCTGGAAAGTGGATCAATGCCGTTGGTTTTTTGTTTGCGCTTGACGAACCGTCTTTTTTCTTCGCCTTCCACTGCCACTGCTCTTGTGACTCTTTTTTCTCTCCTTCCCCAAATTCTCCAATAAACTTTGCTTTTGGTTTAAAGAAGGCGGTGGCCGCCTCTGGTTCATGCATTTTGCCCTTTGCCTTTGTCTCTTGACATCTTGTTGCCAAGTCGCATAGCAGAGCGCATCATATTACCCCGCTGCTTTTCCCACCTACTTTAGAGGCTTGCTTCACGACGTCCTAGTCCCGATTTATCTACTCTAGACCTCATTGAAATCAACATCGAAGACCTCTGACCACGCACGACCGAACCGTAGAGCTCGGATCTTCTCCGTGCGACCTGTTTCTTCCTTCGACTTCCAAAATGACGAAACCGACAAAGCCAAAGTTGCCCGCGAAGCAGCTGGCCATTCTGGGTAAGGCAACCTCGCATTTTTAGAACATGTCCAACGCTTGCTTTTTTCCCAAACGCGCTTTCAACAGAGCCGATAGTACCGGTGACAGTCAAAGCCAGGCAAGTGCCGTGAGACCAGACATACCGGTTTCCGAACAACTTCAGGGTCATGCGATGGAAGGATCGTGGTTGTCTTGGGATCGCCTTGGTAGACTACGAGATTATGGACGGGTGGAAATCTACGTGTTCTCGCCATGTTACCGCCACTCTGTCATTAGACACTTACTCCAAACCTACCTCGAAATGCGACGATAGCATGGTCTTGATCTTCCAAGCTGCCTGATCAATGTGAACCGATGAGGCCGACAAACGTTACCAAGTCGAAAGTGCTCCAGCGTGTACAAACGCTGGAATAAAGGATGCAGATTTGACATCAACTCGGATCAGGGAGCCCTCTAATACTCCATGAGAGGCATCCATCATCTTTTCTAGACTCCGATGCTAATTCGATTACAGCCGTTGCGCGGTTCGCGGAGCCTCTCGCCCTCACATCCGTCTTCCCATACCTCCCCGAGATGATTCGCAGTTTCGGCGTGGAACAGAACGACGTCGCAAAATGGGCTGGTATCACGTCCGCCGTGTTCTCGCTCTCACAGAGTGTAACTGCGGTACCGTGGGGTAGAGCTTCTGATCGATTTGGAAGAAAACCAACCATCATCATCGGCCTGCTATCAACAATGTTCTTCTTTTGTGTTTGGGGTGTTTCAACAAGTCTGCCCATGGCAATCACTGTGAGAGCTATTCTCGGAAGTGGTAACGGAAATGGTGCGTTTCCTCCTGATCTGTGAATTCTTCGTCTTACACTGACAATGGTTTAGTCGGAATTATCCGCACCATGGTGGCAGAGATGGTGCCAGAAAAGGAACTACAACCCCGCGCGTTTTCGATTATGCCTCTCATCTGGTCCGTTGGCTCCATCTTCGGCCCAGCTTTTGGCGGATTCTTTGCCAGGCCTGCCGACCGCTTCCCCGCCGTCTTTGGTGATAGCTGGTTCTTCAAGGCGTACCCCTTTGCCTTGCCAAACTTCATCGCTGCGGTCTTCTTCTTCATCTCAGTCACGACCGCCACTCTCTTCCTCAAGGAAACGCTCGAGAGCAAGCGACATAAGCCCGACTGGGGACTCCTGATGGGCGAGCGCATCACCCGCTCATTCCGCCGCTCTCGCCATCACCACCATCACCATGCTAGAGCTCGACGCACCTCGTTTGTTGACGGCGAGGCTACCGCACCCCTGGTGCCTCACAAGACTCCACCGACACACCCGGTCGAGGACAACAAGGCCTTGGAGGCACCCAGTATGAAGGAGGTTTTCACTGCTCAGACGAGTATCAACTTGCTTTGTTACACCTTCCTCGCCCTCCACTCCGTGGCCTTTGATCAGGTTCTGCCAGTGTTCCTCAACTACCCCAAGCAGGAGCACACTCCGGAGAACACGAACCTGCCCTTCCAATTCTCTGGCGGCTTTGGCCTCGACTCTGGCCGCATCGGTACCATTTTCACCATCTATGGCATCACTTGCGGCGTAATCCAGTTCTTCGTCTTTCCACCTCTGTGCAACTACTTCGGTGTCCTGCGCTGTTTCCGCGCATGTGGTGCGTATCCTATCTTCTGCTATGTATGTTGCATTAGAAACTGACCGTCTGTGCAGCTGTGACTTTTCCCATCGTCTACATTCTGGCCCCTTATGTGGTCCTCTTCGAGAGCACCGCTGGGCGCTACACCGCTCTCTTGATCGTCATGTTCGTCAAAGCCTGTGCCGTCATCATTGGCTTCCCATGCATGACTATCCTCTTGACCAACTCGGCCTCTTCGCTCCGTATCCTGGGTACCCTCAACGGCTTCGCCACCATGTTCAGCGGATTTGGCCGTGCTTTCGGTCCCGCTGTTGCCGGCGCTGCCTTCAGCTGGGGTGTCGCCAGAGGTTATGTCATTACCGCCTACTGGTTCCTCGCGCTCACTGCCATCATTGGAGCTATCCCCATCTACATGCTGGTCGATTACGATGCTCTGACTCAAACCCCCGACACGAGTGATGACGAGGATGAGAGTGTTAGCGATGAGGGCTATGCCAGCGAAGGCAGTGTCGTTGCCTCTGGCAGCGGACAGGCTGCCTCGAATGAGACGGCGCCATTGTTGAGTGCGAAGAATGGGGCACCAGGATACGATTCCGTCAGTCCCACACGGTCTTGAGGTAGTTACCTACGCCCTGATGACCGACATACTGCTTTCATGCTTTTCGCAAGCGCGCATTTGACGTTTCGAACGAGAATGACACAAGAATGAAACGCTATATACGAGATTTACGGCCAGCTCTTCCGAGGGGTTTGAAATTGTGGCTGGCATCGGATGGTACTTTTCTTAGCTTTGTGGCATATCTAGGTCCATCATTGCCTGGCGTCTAGCATTGCAGGGTCCGCAACGGCTTGTTTTTTTGTCAATGAGGGCATTTATTCTGGTTTGGTTCTGGGCGGTTATCAAAAGCATCATTACTGTTTGGTTTCGTAGTTTGGCATTTGGACACATCTACATAGGCATTGCTCCTTGCGAGTAGACGTTTCGAACCATTTATAGCAGCTTAATATTACATATATGTCAATAATTGGTCAAGAATGAAATTTGATGTTGAGGATTGTGAGTGGCGAGCGTTTGCCTACAGGCTACAGACTGGTGGGCCGACGCATGTTGGAGATGACCAAGTTTGTCTTCTTAGAATGTAGCCCAAGTATGTTGGGTATGGTTGCACATCAAGAATAGTTTCACGCGAGAACCTGCAGAAGGAACGAATAGTCATGACCACTGGAACCAGTTTTGAATGTTTCTTTTCTCTTGGAGAAAAGATCTTTTTGGTATTCAGTTCGCTGCATCATCCATCTCAAGGGGCGTCTCAGGCCCGACCACCCCTTTATCTCCCAAAGACTCCGAAAACTCCGCTATACTGAAGCACTACCGCCCTGCCCAAGCCCGTCTTTTGCTTAGCCCTTCCCCTTCGAAGAGTGGTTTCCTGTCCTCTCTCGGAAAAGGGGGAGGGGGTGTCGAGGCTAAATTTTTCTATTTTGAATCCTCCCAAGTCCCATTTTGCCCATTTTGATTTTTCATCAACCCCCTATTTTTTGGTCCACCCATATATGGCTAAGAAAGAAGAAAATATTCCCAATTGACATCTTTGTTATCCGTTTACTCATGTTCCATGGGAGCCTACTACTACTACGAGCTAGCTAGCCTTTTGCCGTTTTTCAGGCAAAGAGCTTCTTCTCGTAGGACTCCATGTTGACGTTACCCTCCATCTGAGCGCTGGCGGTGCGGAGCTCGAAGCGGAGGGTGCCGTTGTCGACGGACTCGCGGAGCTCCTTGAGGGACTGAATACCGCAGTCCTGCATGGAGTGCTTGAGGCCGGCGGAGAGGTAGGGGATGAAGCGGCTGATGGGGCCGCGGTGGGCGACGGAGCCAGTGACGCCCTGTGCGACGAGGACGCTGTCGCCCTCGGAGAAGTAGCGGGCGGTGCCAGCGTTGCTCTTCTGGCTGTCCTTGCCGCCGTTGCCGGCCTTCTTGTCCTGCATGGCGTCGATGGAGCCCATGCCGCGGTAGGCCTTGACGAGCTTGCCCTCGCGGGAGACGAAGGAGGTTCCGGGGGACTCGGTGGTTCCGGCGAGGAGGCCGCCCATCATGACGGTAGAGGCGCCGAGGGAGAGACCCTTGACGACGTGGCCGACGTTCTGGACGCCGCCGTCGGCGATGCAGGGGACGCCGAAGCGGGCGGAGAAGCTGCTGACGGAGTGGACGGCGGCGGCCTGGGGGCGGCCGACGGCCATGACCTCCTGAGTGATGCAGGCGGAGCCGGAGCCCATGCCAATGCGGAGGCCGTCGACGCCGGCCTCGATGAGGGTGGCGGCCTGCTCGCGGGTGACGACGTTTCCGCCGACGACATCGAGGCCGGGGAACTCCTTCTTGATCCACTGGACCATCTCGACCTGGTACATGGAGTTACCCTGGGAGGAGTCGAGGATGACGACGTCGAGGCCGGCGTCGACGAGGAGCTTGAGGCGGTGCTTGTCCTCGGGGCGGGTGCCGATGGCGGCGCCGCAGAGGAGCTGCTTGCTGTCGGGCAGCTTGGAGGCCAGGGGGAAGTGCTGGTTCTTGTTGAGGTCGGAGCGAGAGATCATGGAGACGAGGTTGCCGTCCTTGTCGACGATGGGGAGCTTGCCCTTTTTGGACTTTGCGAGGATCTTGTTGGCCTCGGGCAGGTCGATGCCGTCGGTGGCGGTGATGAGGTCGGTGACCATGACCTTTGAGATGGAGAGGGAGGCGTCGTCCTCGAACTGGATGTCGCGGTTCGTGACGATTCCCAGCAGCTTGGAGCCGAGCTTGCCGGTTTCTGCAGACGATTGTTAGTCATGTCTGTCCTAATTAGGGGCCGTAGCCTGCTGCGGTTGATAACAGTGTGTAAAGGTTTTGCTTTGATCATAGTATAATGTCTCCTCAGAACGACATGGTCGTCGAATTGGTGGAACGAAAGTTATAATTGAAAAAGGTTTGTAATCATGTAAAGCGAGGGAAAAGCAAAGTCTCTGTGGGAGAACAGGCTTTGGGAGGGAAGGAAAAAAGGGGAGGGGTTGACAAACCTGTGACGGGGAATCCTCCGAAACCCCACTTCTCCTTCAAGGCCTTTGCCTCGCCGACGGTGGTGTCGCGGCTGATGACGACGGGGTCGATGATGAAGCCGTTCTCGTAACGCTTGACCTTGCGGACCATGTCGGCCTGCTCCTCGGGCGAGCAGTTGTGGTGGATGACACCAAGACCACCCTGGAGAGCGATGGCGATGGCCATCTCGTGCTCGGTGACGGTGTCCATGGGGGAGGACACGAAGGGGGTCTTGAGGGTGATTCTCTTGGTGACGGGGGAGTCCAGGACGACGGCAGAGGCGGGGAAGCCAATGTAGCCGGGAAGGAGCAGGAAGTCGTTGTAGGTCAGACCACCGTGCTTCTTGGTGTCCATGAGCTCGTGAATGTCGAGGCCATCGCGGCTCTCGTACTCCTTCAAGACCTGGAGGGCGGTCTTTGAGTCGAGCACCTTGGCGCCGTTGATACCGTTGGTGGAAGGCATCTTGTGAGAGATGAGTTTTCTCGTTTTCTTGCCGAGTGAACAGAAGAAAGATGAAAACGGAGTCGAAGAACTTGCTAGTAATTCGAAAAGAAGACCAAAGGCAAAAAAAAAAGCTTGGTCGATTCGAAAACTAAGGTTGGTTATGTCTCTTCTTCCCGTAAGAAAGAAGGGAAAAAAATTCTTGAGACGACACCCCGCAGGAAATTTTTTAAAGTGAACGGTGCGCGACCGGCGGAAGGAGGGGCAGGAGGGGCAGGCGGTGAGTGGCTACAGTGCGGCGCAACTTCTTTGAGTAAACCTTCACTGTGTTCAGCAACACCGCAGTATTGTTTTCCCAGTCCCTACAAATCTGTTCGCCTGAGATGAGTTGTTTCGTCAATGAAGGAAATGAGATTTTGATTGTTACTCTGGTCGCTTGCGCTATACTTGACTATCCGTCATTTTTCTGTTCATGAAGAAGGGGTTTCGAGATTCCAGACGCCCAGAACAAGTCTGGAATAGTGCTGCCAAGTCAGGTAGCAGCCGGTAGATCTAGCATTGCCTTATGTAAGAAACATCTGGGTCTCGACTCCCGTCGCGAGATATGACGCAACCCCAGCGGGCACCTTGGTGACCGAAAAAAAAAAAAGAAGGTCATTGGAACCAAGATAATATTAGTGTCCTTGATATTTGCGATAATAAGGGAAAACGCTTCTATTGTCAATTGTTGACACAGGACCTCATTAGTGCACAAGAAAAATTTCTGTCCAGCAGAAACCCAATGTGCCATGTCGAGAAGAGTCCTGCAGAGTTTGCTTGTATTCGTAGCCTTTGGTTGGCCAGAGCAACCGACGCAGGACAATCCTTGCTTGGGTTGCGTGAGCTGGACAGAGACCCCCAACGCCAGCAGAAAGTGATTACCTGCTTCCGTTCGGGAGCGAAAGGCGGTGGGATGCCGAGGAAGCAAGGTATAACAGCAGCGAGGAGTCAAGTACTGACAATTGATCCTCCGGTTTCTCTTCAGGTCTCTCGTTTGACTTTCTAGGATACAGAATGACATGAAGTGACCTCCACGCTGGTCCTTTTGTATGGCCGAGCCTTAGGAACGCTCCGCATCTGTCGAACAAGAGTGTGCATCCATGGCGACTTGCAACATACATCACCTGCTACTAAACGAAGCTAAGGTGCGCTACCTAAACTTTAGAAACGTCGTTCATCCATTGTGAGCTGAGACCGAGGGTTCGCAACAGTGACCTCACGTCGATACGAGAGAGATGGCGGGCTCTGATTGGCTGTTCCAGGATCCGTAACACCAAAAGCAACAAAGAAAAGAAACAAGACCAAACAGCGGTCCTCATACTAATCGCGAAAGAGACGAACACACAAAGTGAAAACTATTCTCCCCTACGTACTATCGGTCCCTCTGCCTGTCCAAATGACTGCAGCGTTCGTATTGGCGGGTCCATGGACTGCTGCACGAAGGCGTTTTACAAACAGTGACATGCATCGAGCTAGAGAATGGGGGTGCCACAGATAAAAGACCGAGTTTTGGAGGGGAAGTATCCTATCCATCACGGCGTGTCTGTCCTGCGATCCTCCGATCGTGTTTACATGTTCTTGCAGAGGTATTCCCCGCTGTTTTCGATCTCATAACCTTGACGTCGTCAATGATGTCTGCAATCTTGGTTCATCCAGAAGGTTGAGCAATGTTCCCTGGGCGACAGGAAATTCAACCAGGTTAGATTGGTCGACGTGTCAAAGGTTTTGAACGGGGAATCCGTAGTCACTGGCATCTGTCAAAATAGGTCAGATGAGAGCCGCGACGGTTTGGCCCGCAGTCAGTGACAGGTTTTTCCAAGGAGAGTGCCTGAACATGTTACCCAGATCGACCTTGCAGCTTTGGGCCTCACCGGACCATTGTATTGTTGACCAGAAACCTTTTGGGGCAAGTTGGGAGAAGTTTGAGAAGCGCCTGGCCCAGAGAAAAGCAGATGACAATCCAATTGACAGAGAGCGGAGGCGGGGCGGAGGGCCGTGCAACGGAAGATTGCTGCATCGGTCTCCACTCTAAAAGGCCGGGCGGATGCGACGCAGGGGCCAGCAAGAGCCAC